CTGGTGTGAGTGTGTGTGTCAGTGTCTGTCCTGTGATGGACTGGCATCCCCTCCAGGGTGTACCCCACCTCGCTCCTGTTTCTTGCCCTCATAGGCTCTGGCTCCCCTCCGCGAACCTGAATTGAAAGAAGAGGTTAGAAAATGGATGGATGGATTAGTGAATGTGGTGCATGCTTGCCAATCACGCACACCTGCTATTTCACAGCCTGGCTCACACATTGGCGTGAGTGGACATGAGGGTGATGTAGCACTGCTGTGGTTCTTTTGTGCATCTCTTCCTTGTGCCACAGCTGCAGTGCTCCAGGAGCCTATTGATTACGTCTTGATTAGCCGTCAATTCACAGGCGCAGGTCTGGTGCTCCTCTGTGTAGTGCATGGGCTTCAGCACAGTTTTCACAAAGTTAGCATAAGAAACACAAGGTTTTCATTTCTTGGCCCACTGTGGGGATATTTGGGCTAACTGCAGACCCTGGTGTAAGCATCTCACATCACACTGAGCGTGTGAATAAAGCTCCACAAAGAAAAAAATCTGTTTGTGTTCATGAACAATCCAAAAGGCTTCATGTGCATTGTACGAAGGGGAAGAAAGTGTCAGCTGTCAAGAACGTCTTTTTCCTGGGCCATTCCTGATTAAATCATTGCAGAAGCAGGTGATTCATTTTTCATGTGCCCTTTAGATCATCCTTGCTAAAATCTTACCATAAGCCACAAATAGAAAATCTTATTTTAGCTTGCAGGCAACTGAGCTGGCAGATCACAACACCATACATCAGAAACCATAGAACGAAAAGAGCAAAAGAAGGGTTTCATCTTTCTAAGCAGGAAACTATTAAAATGATCGTGTATCATCTCTCCATACATTTTCAAATCGTTAAGGAGCTGAAGCATATCCCGACACAAAACAGGTGCAAGTTGGGGCTACACCCTGGACAGTACGCCAGTCCAGTACAGAGCACACGCAGACACACACCCACTCACACCAGGGCCAATTTTCACATATTCAGGGTGAATATAAAAATTACACAGTTAGCATCCCAGGTGTGAAATTAAAACCAGGGCCCCAGTGGGAACCACTGTACCACTGTGCTGCCTGGGTACAAGTATATTCATCTCAAATAAAGTAAAGCCACAAAGTCGCAGTGTTTTGAGATTGTGATCTAGTGATTTTAGGAAGTATAAATCCTTGTATAAAATCTACCGTTCATCCTTTTTTTAACTGCTACATTCAAACTCAGGGCAGTTGGGAAGATGGAGCCTATCTCGGCAAACAATGGGCTCTTATGGCAGGACACACCGTGGGTGGGATGCCAGTCCATCACAGGGCACACACACACACTCAAACCAGAGCCAATTTATTCCAGAAGTCAGTGAACATGGGGAGAACATACAAACTCCACACGGATAGAACCCCAGAAACTGAACCCAGGAGTAGCTGGGAGGCACAAATACTAACCACTGTTCCTCCCTTATTATGCATCATATTCAATTAAATGCATTTTACAAAACAGAAGGTGCACTTAGGGTGCAGATTTCTATTCAGATGAAAGTTTTATTTTCATTTTTTTTTCCAAAATACTTAGAGCATAAGGCCGTGAAAAAATCTCCATCTCTGCACAGGGCTGCAGAATATTGGGTTCCTTTAAACCATCAGTGAAAGACTTTCTTTTTAGCCTGGGAACATACCTGACTGCATGTTCTTGGACCAGTTCTGCAGCAGCAGCATTTAGTTTGTGACAAGACTGTGAAAATTGAACACTGTATTTTAAATGGGGTTTGATTCTGTGTTGCTACCAATAGATGAATTCTGCTTCACCCGGAGGTTTGTGGCTCTGTGGCTAAGGATCTGTGCCTGTGGCTGGAAGGTTGCTGGTTCAAATCCCGCGGCTGGCAGAGGAATCCTAGCCCCTGAGCAGGGCTCTTAACCCCAACTGCTCCAGCAGTGCCGTATGAAATTCTGACCCCCAAGCTTCTCTCTCTCTGTCCATGTGCCTGTGTGGCTCATGGAGAGCAAGCTGGAGTATGTGAAAAGACAAATTCCTCATGCAAGAATTTGTATATGGCCAATAAAGTGATCTTATCTTATCTTCTTATCTATTAATATATAATTGGGGTGTTATATGTATATGTATAATCCACATCTGAAGAAGGCTCCAGAGCCAAAATGTCATGTTTCTTTTCTTTTCCTTTCAGCGGGGAATAAACCTTTACTTGTTCCTTTGATTAATACATTGTATTATTATATACAATTATGCCTTGCTTGAAATTCTACTCGGCACTCCCCGCCTGCTTCTGTTCCTCACACAAACCTCCGGGTGAAGCCAAATTCATCTCTTGGTAGCAACACGGAAGTAACTTTCTTGATTTTTTTTTTAATCATTTGCACTTCTAAGAAATCACAAATTTAACAATTGGTCAAACACCAGAGATGACAGAATATGATGGGAGGGGGGCTTCTCTACTTTTCATGGTGCTCTATCTTCCAAAGCCAGCAGCTGGAAGGAGGAGATCTTCTGAAAGGGCAGATGCAGGATACCAGCTACTGTAGCCATGCCTAATCTGTCAGCCTGCATGAAGTGAAATGACATTGTTATTGCAGGGACTCGAGACTCCAAATCCCTGAACAGAAAAATGTGCAAGATCTATGACACGCAGTGCGGCTGTGACATTTGTGGGGCCGACACTCTCTGCCTGAACTCTCCGCTAACTTGCGGATATTTACAGTTTCTTGATCAGCTGAATCAATGTTAAACAGATTTGGGAATATAAGTAAATCCTCATTAACGGCACTATAAACTATGTGAATCAGTGTGTTATTAATCGGTGTGGGCGGAGCGGTGGCCCTGTGGCTAAGGATCTGCGCCTGGAAGGTTGCTGGTTCAAATCCTGCAGCTGGCAGAGGAATCCTACTCTGTTGGGCCCCTGAGCAAGGCCCTTAACCCCAGCCGCTCCAGGGGTTCTGTATAAATGGCTGACCCTGCTCTCTGACTCCAAGCTTCTCTCTTCCCACCTGTGTGTCTCGTGGAGAGCAAGCTGGGGTATGTGAAAAGACAAATTCCTAATGCATGAAATTGTATATGGCCAATAAAGTGATCTTATCTTATTAATTCAAATGCTGTGTTGGCAGCTATCTCAATTTAAGGTATTCTACTAAAGAATGAACATTGGTGTTAAAGAGCCATCTTAAGCAGGCATTTTTGACATTAGACATTGTAGTATTTTAGAATAGCAGACCTCAGGCGTTTATGGTTTTAGGTGTATCATACTTGTGCTGGCTTTCCCACTTAGCAGAGCTCCCTGACAGTAATTTTAAGGGAGAAGATCGAGTCTCCACTGGTCTCAGCTAGGTGGCCTGGTGAGCACTGTGAGTTCTTTCTCTCTGTAGAGAATTTCATCCAGCAGTGGGATTGAATATGGCTGAAATTAGTTTTAATGTTGATGCTTTGAAGGATAATTATTTGAAAAAGAGTAAATTACGTGCCTTACTGTGTACAACACTGTATATTTTCTTCCCTGCACTCATGCTAATGCAGAAAACCTGTGGAAACGATGCTCTAACTATGGAATATTAAATATTCCAAGATTTCAAGTGTAGTTCTGAACTGACATTTACAATTGTAACTAGAATCAGACATTAATAATATTTTAAAATAGAAAGCCAGTAGCCCCTTTCTATGTGAAAATGGACTAAAAGGTAGAGATTAAATTAGGAAACACGACTCTGGGTTTTAACATTGCACTTTCTAATAGGGGGCATTTTCTGACTTCAGCGGCTCTGACAAAATCAATACCGGTTTAATTTCCCCTTCCTGTCATTTATTCAACAGTTTCCACAGGGATTTATTATAGTCCATTGTTCAACCTCTTGTTGGAATGCACGAATATAGACAGCTTTTTTGTCATTCAATTTAAATAATAATCAAGCTAGTTTAAAAAAACCCTTTGCGACGAAGAGACGTTCAAGGGATTTGGGACTGCGGAGTGTTTTTCATTAGGCTCAGCTAAAGAACGGAAGACGTGTAAATAGACATTTACTTAAGGTATGGCCATGCACGAGTGCCTCACATTATGGACAGTACAGATAATGCCTTAAATTTATTCTAATTGACATACAGGAGCAGTGAGGTGTAAAATGGCTTGTATTGGGAAGAGTGCTTTAACACGGTTCATCAGGGCTGCTGCCTCAGTCATCACAGAGAGCTGACACACGACCTCACGGGGGATTTCGTCTGCAAATGGGCTCGTGCTCCAGCTGTCTCGTGCTTTTAAGAAACACACCTTTATTTCACTTCGACCGTGAGAAGCCGCTGCGCCGTGGGGTGAAAGCCGCGAGTGGCACCGGCCGAACACGCCTGCGCAAGATGTACAGAATACTGGGAGGTGACCCGTGCGGGAATTCTGATGTAAATCCGCATGTCAGAATTTGATCTTTAATAAACTAAACTTCCGGCTCATGTAGAATTCCACAAGCGCTTATAAGCGGCGACGGAATTCAGCAAGAAAAAGGGATCACTTTTTATTTTATTTTAGGAAATGAGAGTGGTCCGTGACAAATACCGTGCACACACAGGTTAACACGTGGTAACTTCTCACTGTATTGATATGTATCGTATTCTTATTATTGCATCATTCGTTACACTCTTGCTGTGTTGTCTGTGTTGAGCTGCTGTTGCACTGAAGTTTCCCTCACGGGATCAATCAAGTATCTATCTAAACACGCCACCCAACAGTATAAAAACAAATACACGCGAGGTTATGTAGAAATTCTCTCCCCCCACGCCTTTAGTGTGGTAAACCTGGAATACTGATAACCCGGTGAATAGTGGTGTCTATCGGCACTTCGACTTCAATTCCCGGTGTAAGACGCTCCGAGTCCCGCCCGCCGCTCTGCAGCGAAGCCCAGAGCAGAGCCTGCCAGGGCCGCTCGCGCGTGCTGCCCTGACGCTGACGCAGCTGCAGGGGCGGGGCCTGCTCCAATGCAGCAGACGGCTGGAGCGGCAGGCAGGTTCATGCAGCACTCAGCTGGGCGACAAGCCGACACACGGGGCTACAGCGCAGAGCGGCAGAGCTACCGGGAGGGGAACTGAACAGCGCTAGGAGATGCCAGCGACTGACTGACGCATAATCCCGACCCCCCCCCCTCTCTGCTCCTCTAACTAGAAAATCCTGGCAAAACCCAAATCTTCAGTTAAGAAGATTTATAGTGGATCGCCTGCAGTGGCACAGACTTGTGGTGATCTTTATTTTAATGGGTGTTTCTTCTAATAGGCGTTTTACATTTGTTTTTGGAAACCAAGAGGACCTTGATGATTGATTTTTGGCCCCCTTACCCCATTGGCGTAACACTGCACTGCTGTTAAAAATAAACGTTATTTCATTCAGTAATACAGTCAATGGGCATCGGCGCGTCATCTCTTGCGAGTTCTGTGACTAGACTGGAGGTGCAGTGCGATTCCAGCTGAGAATCCCACCGGGCTGTCGGGGCAAGACGAATTGTCACCGCTATTTTGTTTTTATTTCAAGCCGAAAAAAGGATCGTGTCATGACGACGTACCTGCAGCTCTGCCGGACCCTCTGCTGAGGCAACCGATGAGGATCATGGATACTTGTGTATCTGCTTTAGGATTCCAAAGTAACCGTTTTATAAATGGAGGAAGACATTGACACCCGTAAAATCAACAACAGTTTTCTCCGCGACCACAACTATGCAACAGAAGGTAATTTTAATCAGATATGTATATAAATCTGAGTCTCTGAAATAATATTATACACATAAATATGCATGACCGGTATTAACAGGCGATTACAAGTAATTCCTCTAGCGCATGTACAGTATAGAGCCAGGTTTAGACTGCTGACATAACAGTTCCGGTCCAAAATCTTCACTTAGCAACTCTGGTTGTTAGGCTGTTTGGTCGGCGAGAAGATTAAAATGTATTTCACAAGCTGTTAAAAGCTCTGTTACGTAGCGAGAAACATCGTTCCAGAATACTGTAATCTCTTGCAGTTCGTCAAACCATATTGGTATATCCCACCAATGAAGGAATGAATGACTAAATTAATCCCTGTCGCGAATTCTCTGGAATTTCAATAATAACCACAGAAAAAAAATAAAGCATGAGCTGCAACTTTTAAGAATCGAGATTGTGGATTTATACTGTTCTCCTTCATTGGAAAAAGCTTTAATGTTATACTTGTAGTACCGCAGGACGCCTGGGGGGGATAATTTACGTGGTTCAAAGGTCTTGTTAATTAGGTGAGTGGTGGTGCCGTTTTAGACTGTGCTAGCATATTGCTTTCATTTTAGGACACAAACGAGTTTAGGTAGAGAACAGTGTGGATTTAGGAGTTCCAGGTTCGTGCGGTTTCCAGTAACTGCTTTGCGCGGTTTCGCAGGTGTGTGTTTGTGAAGGAGCTGTATTGAACTTCGCTTTACCCGGGAAACCAACAGTCCTCACTGTCTCCTGCTCCACACTGAACCTCCTCTCCTCGGGCGCTCTCTTCATTCGGAGCAGTCATGTCATGTGTCTAGATCCTTCTGGCGAATTCGTCGAGCCGGCCGGAACCTTTATTGCACAGAGAGCAAAAAATTCGACAGAACCCGAAACAGAACCCGTTTCGACTGTAGATCAATTACAGGGGCTATCGTAACACCTCCCGCAGCGCTTGTTGTAATGCACAGAACTGACCCATTAGGTCTGGCTGTAATCATGTAGTTCATTTAAACCTTTATAATTCTAAGTAACTAAAGGGTACGTTTGTGGACAAGAAAAATGGTCGTTTTGTCCACTCTTTTAAGGCCAGTGCCAGTGACAATTCTGACTATACACAAGCAAGTGGTGATTATTATTACCAATGTAATAATGTCAATAATGTTAGTTTAAATTCAATTTTCCGGCGTGGACACGCACGGTCCATGTATCTCAGTCTAGAGCGCAGCTTTGCCGTTATTGATCAATTTAAAACGGGGGAGATTAATTGAGCGCCAAGCCAGGTCAGATAATAGATTGCAAAGACGACTTCCAGTTCCGCAGCGGAGGCGAGGGAACTTCCCAGCAGACCAGCACTCCTCACCTGGGAGCGAAGCAGGCTGTGAAGAGATCGGCTTTTGAGGGTCATAGTTTAGGAAGTAGAACAGAGGCGAGCTTAAGCCAGGCGCAGCGAAGCGCTTCTGGAAAAGTCAGAGTGTCAAACAGGTGGGCTTGCAAGATACGGATGATTTTACTGCGTGACAATGGGAGCGTTTGAATTTTAACTCGTTGCGGTTTTTATGCACTCCCCGGAAATGAGATGGGGTACCTAAACGCCCTACTTAAGGATTTCACGCAGAGTCCCCTGACCTTTACAGTTTATCTGGGTTTTTTTTTCCATCCCTCCTCTCTTCCCTGTAATTGCGCTGGAAGCTTAGGGTTATTGATCGCGGCAGAGCAGAGCGTTGCTCGCAGCTGGAAGGAAGCTGACTGGCGAAACAGGCGGTCGGTTGATCCTTGCTCTTCGCCGAAGGACTCTGGGGAGTTTAGAGAAGGTCGTGTGTTCTGGCCATTATCGCCGGTCAGTAAATGTCAGCTGTGTGAATTGATGTGCGTGTGCTTAGTCGGTCTCAAAACTGCTGCTGTTCTTTGTTTTAAAAATAAACACTGTAGCAAAAAATATATTTCTCCAAGTCTTCCCGGGGATCTGTGAAATGCAGGTTACCACTCTTGCGCAACCTGAATAACTGCTCTGCTTTGAGTGCCCCAGTTTGTTCTTTCGGCATTCATTATAGGAATATTAAAGGCGTAGTTTGTTCGCTGCTCTGGGTAACAGTCTCACAAGATGTGCAGTCTTACTGACACCTCTGCTTTCTGTGAAGCTTTGATTGAAGGTCCCATTTTAAAACGATGTCTCTGTTGCACTGAAGAGCTGCGGCTATTGCTAATTAGAGGTTATGGTAGGAGGCAGTATTTGCTGAGTATGTAACACCTGTCCCTGATGCATGATGGTGAGGGCTGCATTCTGAACACTCTGCAGTTTTGTTGTGTATTTAAAGTACGTATTGAATGAGAGCTGGACGAAATGAGCGAAGAGTGTGTTTTAATCAAGACTGAATAGTGTGGGAGTTAGGATCTCTGTTAGTAGCTGGGATATTGGGATGTGAGGGATCTTTACCTCCCTGGCTCGTGCTAGGACATCCGAAAGCATGTGCCCATTCTGGGCCAGCAAGGTGAAGCAGGAGACATTCCTCATTGGGAAGTCTCCTGTCTCCACAGCTGATCTCATTTACACGGTGTCTTCAGTGGCCCCTTGCTCCCCCAGTGTTTATTACAGGGCTGAGCTGCAGTAGCGCAGGCTGGCCTGCCCCTCCCCTGTCAGGGGGCATTCATCGCACCTCTGTGGCCTGAGCTCAGGCAGCTGCTGAGCTGAACTCCACCCCCTTGAGAGTCAATGAGCTGCTGTCCGAACCCATGACCCATTGAGAGAACCCCTTCTCTGTAGCAGGGAGACCCCCCTCCTCCACAGCAGGTGTCATCTTTTAGCACGGGAGAAATGCAGGGGGCAATAGTAGCAGTATCAATACAACTACTACTAAATAAGAATAATGACAATAATAATGATTAATTACTATTAATAATAATAATTATTATTATTGTTGTTATAAATGCTCTCAGCCACTGATTCACTCTGCACTACTGAGCAGGTTAATGACCCAGGCTGATTCTAAGAGTGCCCAGTATGTTATGCAGAACCGATGTCCTGTTGCCACAGTGGTGATGTTGCACAGTCCACCCTCTTGTCTCTGTCAGTCTGTTCTTTTGGGTAGAGCCCACAGCACTGTCCAGGATGCAATGGCTCCCCTGTGAGAGAATCTATTTGAAATTCTGTAGAAAGGTGAAAAGCATAATGCAAAAATGCTGCTGGATGAGGAGTGTTGTCTAACAGCCTCGGTGTGGTATACAGCTCACTGGAAAAGGGCAGCAGGGCATTCATTAGGAGCCAGGGTTATAACTAAATAACCTTAGGCAGTAGAGTACAGTAGATCCATTTCTCTAGTGAGGCACTGGACAGATGCACTTGTGTTTTAAAAAATGATTAATAAAATATGACTCATGCATTTTTAAAAACATTTTTATGTGTCATTTTCTTCCGTTTTATCTCTGCTGCTCATTCCTGTTTTATTTGCTCTTTACTGCACTCGTAACATCTGTAGGCGTTGTTGACATAAGCGAAAAAGACACTTCTTCTCAAGTTCAGGACTCCATAACATCATCCTGTCAAGCCTGAATGGTTGTGGTTTTATCCGTTTGCCATACAAGAATACAGTGAAAACACTGAACCTATACACTGACATGCAGTTTACAAACCAGCCCTACACAATACCCCTATTAAATTTGAGGAGATCATTTTTGATGGAGATGGGTTGTTCCACATTTTTAAACCTTTAAAATAGCACTGTGGTGCTTTGTATACAGCACCATACTGATTTGCAGGCTGCTTTTCGCCCAAGGAAGAGAGCACAGTGCAGGCTAGGTCCGACTCATTCTTGTCATCTCCGTCTTGCTCTGCTCATCCCTAGCAGGTGGGGCCCGAGGATTGATGGTGTTTAATTGCAAGCATATGGCGCTATGGGATTTAGAGATGTAGTGCAGAAGACGGGAATGGTGTTGTTGCTCTGTGTTCAAGGTAGAAGCTCATATCCCCGGAGCTCAGTGCGTCTCTTCCTTGCTTGAGTACAGTTTTCCCTCACCAAGTGTAAACCCGCAGCATCTGGATTGCAGATGGGCTGCTGATGTCCCTGTTTAAAGCTGATAACCTAAACCGGTCCAAATCCAATTCTGTGGTTTTCTCTCTTGCTGTTTCTTTTCATGCGTTTGTATCCGATCCGGGCTGTGTGAATTCAGTCTTAGTTTAGAGGCCAAAGACAAATGCATTTCCAACTCCGAGATCAAGAAAGGGTTGGTGTTTAGTTTAAGATCAAAATGAGGTTAAAAACTGTCTTATTGTCCTATTGACTGAATCCGTATATTGGAAGTAGAAGGGAAAAAATTACAAATGCATTTAGAAGAATATGTGCTTCTCTCATTCCCCAAGGTTTATAGCCCTGGAGAAGTGAAGGTGGTTATGGCCCACAGCTTTGACTTATTAATTTTATAGATTTTCTTTAAATTCTGACAAAAGAGAAGATCGCAGGACAGTCCTCTGTTTGCAAGCACACACACAGTAACCTGTGACCTTTTAGTAAACCTCAGGGTTCCCTTTTTTATTCCGATCGCTCAGAACGGAAGGTGTCTCTTGCTTGCTCACCCTTATTTTTCCCCACCATTGCCCCAGTGCGCACTACACCTCATGAATTTTTATAGTGTTTTATAAGAGCTGGGCCACAGTGGGGATTTTTTTCTTCCTGTTTAATATTTTTCAATTCACTAAACAGGGGCTGGGGAAGTTAATGTAATTGGTGGGGTCTGATTTCATGTACTAGCCTCTGTAGGCGTCATCTTTTTGTGCATTGAGATAATGGATTTTTTTCCCCAAAACCTAAATCTAGTTTTTCTGTCCTATACGCATAATTAGAATGCTTCTGGGCTGCTGCATTGCTGCAGAGCTATAGGAATGGCCAAGGGCTTGTTGTCAGAACTGCAAAACAGAGAGAAGCACTAGTGCAGACTGAATTGTGAGACCTCCTGACTTAAGATAAGATCACTTTATTGGCCATATACAATTTCTCAATTTGTCTTTTTGC